GGGGGGGGGGCCCTGATGGAAGACAAGGAAAACAGACTTGAGAAACCAGATTGAAAGCTGGGGAGAAGAGCTTTGATGGCTGAACAGGAGTTTTTTAGACTAGTGGCCCTCAGAATGTGGTTCCAGACCAGCCCCAGCTGGAAACTAGTTAGAAGTGTACAAAATCAGGGGTCCCATCCCAATGGAGATGATCAGGGACTTGGTGGGTGAACCCCTTCAGCAGGTAAAAACAAACCCTACCCTGAGCTCTGGCTCCCCCGCTTCCTTACTTCTGGACCATCTCTAAACTCAAGCTCTGCCCTTAGCCTCTTCCACGCCCTCTGTGATTTCATCTGGTCTCAAGGTTTTAAATATCAGACTCCCAAAACTGCCTGTACAAACTTAAAGAAGACTAAGAAGCAGACAAAACTATTTTACCGGGTGACTACATCGTTGACAACTAGGTGCTCCAAATGAACTTGCAGCAAATAGATCTCATGGAAGTGACTCCTCCCCAACCGGCACACCATCCTTCCCATTCCTGTTTAGAACCTTCCAAACTATGATGGCTGTTTGGAGATGAGCAATGCCCTCCACCCCGTTTCACTGGATGAGGGAATGCTGAGCACCAGGCATGCCAGACATTCCACTGGCTAAAAACGGGGGTGCTAGTTCAAAGTTAGCCACCCTGGGCTAATCATGCTAAGCCTTCTGAAATTTAAAGCTTATCTCACTCCCACCATTTCCAAAATTTCTTCTAGCCTTCCCTAAGAGAATTCCATCCTCTTTCATTCTAAGAAAAAAGAGGTTAAAATTAGGGTCTGCCCCACGGGATTGACAGACCAGATGCAGGGAATCTGTACCCAGGAATAAACTGGTTCCCACCGCGGATGGGCGGGGCAGGAGCCTCTGGTCTCAACCCAACCAAGGACTCCTGGAAGGCCCGCCCCTTCCAAGTGTGTGCAAGAGGTCTGCTTCCTAGCTTTAAAATTCCCGGCGAAGGCATCGCGTGCCGACCTCTCCTCTACCCCAGTGGTGGCTGGCCTTTCAAAAGTGTGCAGTTGTCTCCTCCCTGTCCAGCCCACGGCTGTCCCAGGACCCGCTGGGCGGCGAGCGGCCCGCGGCTGCAGCCCTGCACAGCGTGCTCTGCACCCAGGCGCCTCGGCTTGCAACCCCGCTGGCTCTGCAAAGTTGGGAAGCTCCAGGGACGCGTTGCCGGGTGGCTTCTCCTGCGGGTCACCCGCGCCCCAGCCTCCCACGCTCCTGTCCCAGAGCCTCCGCAGCCAGCACCCCTCTTGGGTCCTCCTCCCTAAAGCGCCACCATGCTGCTGCGGGGCGTCCTGCTGCTGGTGCAAGGTAAGGCCCGACGGGGAGACCCCCGGGGGTGCCCTGGGGACACGCTCCCACTAGCGCTGTCAGGGCGCTGGGGCTCTTGGTGCCGACTAAGCCTTCCGAGGGTGCTTCCAGATCCTGCCCTGGCCAAGTCTGGGATTAGGATAGACGTAGGGTCATTCAGTGGGGCCCCTGGGAACGCTGAGGGAGGTCGTGCATCCTTCTCTCCTCCCTTCCTACTGCCTCCCCCCACCTACATCAGGTAGGTTCCCACAGCGCGTGCAAATGCCGCCAGGCAGAAGCCCAAACTGAAACTCGCTTTGTGCTCGCAGCCCTGCAGTTTGCCGGTGCCCTGGACCTGCCCGCTGGCTCCTGTGCCTTTGAAGAGGACACTTGTGGCTTTGACTCGGTGTTTGCGTTTCTGCCATGGATTCTAAATGAGGAAGGTAAGACGGGGTCTGGAGAGGGACCCGAGAGGAACGTTCTTCCTTGCTGGCTGGTTTTTCCCCACTCCACATGGACACTGTTATCTTGGAGTTAGTTCCCTTGGGAGGAAAAGTGTGAGTCATGGATCCTCCTTCAAATCCTCGTGCGGCAAGGAGTGGCCAGGGAAACCATGGGGGTAAGGAGTTTGTGTACCTGGTACTGAGCACGTGTGTCTCCCCCTCCCCAATCCCTAGTAGAGAGGGACAAAGGCAATCCTTCTAAGGATTGTCACCGACCAGCTGTGTGCCCCCTGCAGGCCGTTTAGCCTTGCTGGTCTTCAGCAGGCTTGTGTCTGAGCTGAGAAAGTTGGATGGAACTAGCTTTCAGAAAGCCATGCAGAAATGGTTCCACACTTGTGTGAGGGGAGCTCAGTTCTAAGACCTCCCAACTTGCCTCCACCCCACAGGGGTTTTCTGTGTGATTTCTCCTATCACCCTGTGTCTAATCCAGCACTGGACAAAAGAGGAACCATCACCAAAGAATGTCTGAGGCCACTGGGCTGTGGACTGTTGCCAACTGTCTCACTATCCATACTGCTTGGGTTCCTGAGACAAAGTTTAAATGCAAGGATTCAGTTGAATCTTTGCACTCTTGCTTCTCATAGAAAAACAATTTGTGTTCAGTTCCCAACAGCAGGCACTGGTGTCCCTCCTTTTCTTTCGCTCCCTGTATCACCATCATTTTAAAGCCTGATTCCCTAGACCATTTGGGACTGAAGATAAACCATGTCCTTTAAAAGACATGGTGCCATAAGGGAAGCCAGATGACTTTCCCCCAAAGTGGGGGGAAAGCGGAAATCATCCAGCCTGGCTTCCTGAAGCACGACCCTGCTTAGGGTGTGGGAACTGTCAGCACAGTGCTCCTTGCCTAGCTTTCTTTGGGGACTTTTCCCCCCATGAGCTTCCCTGCCCTTCGCAGGTGGCTGGCAGTTTGCAGAAAGGAGAATCTGAGTCTTTGAATGTTCATATGGTTGGTCTGTGTCACCTAGTGTCACTGAGTGACCAACTCTGAACTGTCAAAGGCACTAAGTAATAATCTTTATTTACCTCCAACACCTGCAAGTCTTGAAGACCAGTTTACTTAAGGGGCATGGGAAGAACATCTTGTTACTATGTGGGTTTCTATCTGCTGATGGCTTTAGGAAAGCCTTGAATCTCATCACCCCATTCCATTCTCTACACTGGAGCATTTTGAAAGATGGTGCTACCTATGTTATGGGCGTGGCTTTGGAGAGCATTTGTCTCTAGCACGGGGCGGCATCAGGATGATCTGCTGGGTGTGTTTGGACACAGCTTCCTGGCCCTCCTTGAGTTTCTGATTCAGTGGTCTGGACTGGAGCCTGAGAATTTCTCACAAGCTCTCAGGTGCTGGGACTATTGCTGCTTCTACTGATCTGGAAACCACATTTTGAGAATCCCAAACTTGTACAGTGTACACACACACACACACACACACACACACACACACACACACACACTCCTATGATGTTGGCCGTAATGAAGAAGCTTCTTGTACAGACCTGAGAGTGAACATCTCACTTGTTTCACTCTGATGTGGTCCTGGGGAAAAGGAAATAAATATCTCTCTCCAAACCAGAAACCCTTTCTCTGTTGCCCTTTGAGGACAGAACTGCTTCCCGGCCTGAATTGTGGGTGAGCATGCCACTGCCTGCTGAGCATAAGGGCCTCGCAGGCACATAGGAAGTGCTCCACTGAGTTGGCACCTCTGCACCAGGATGGCAGTTAAACGGTCTCCTTCAGGGAAAACAGGGAGATGCTTATTGGAAAAGGTGATTGCAGTCTAACAGCATAATGAAGGCACTGTGACTCTCCTTTCTTTCTAGCAGCTGCTGCTTTCTGGCTGGAGGCTGGGACCACTGGCTTGGCTGGGGGACATTAGTTCTTCCTGTTCTGAACACTCCAGGGCAGAATGGGCAGGTTAGGCTTCCATCCTACACATCAAAGCTTGGCACTCGGCTAGAACAGCCCACTAAAGACTTCAGGGCAGTGAGGCAGATGTATGCCAGCTGCTGTTCTTGCTTGCTAAGCAGCCATCACTGAGAATTCCCCCTTATACACTCATTTCTAGGTTAGGAAAATAAAGGTAATAAAATTGTCCTAGGCTAAAATTTGGCAAGCTGTTTGCAAGCCGCTCTGCAAATGTACTTCACCTTACTACAGAAACCTTTTGAAGCTCCTCCATGTGCTGGATCCACCACAGAAAGCTGTGAGTTTCACAGATTTTTATCCACAAGTCTTTGAAATACAAACGGCATTTCCTGTATGCCCTTGATTGGTAGATTAACCTACAGTGGAGAGAGCAATACCACCACCCAATGAAGGGAGTTAAGTCCAGAAACTAACCCGAAAATCAGAATCAAATCTGGGGTAGTCGCACACTTGCCAAGCCACAGAAAAGCTCCACTGCTGTCTGAAGCTAAGTGAGGCCCCTAGCTTTTGTTTTTCTACATGTTAGTTCTCTAATCATTTCTGATTACAAGTCCAATGTCACCTAGTTTATGATCATTTTGATATGTGTTTTGTCTCCAGTGGGCGAGTACAGCATTTTTGACAGGGCCGTGTGTTGATGGGGGTTGTGTATCCCAATGGAACCCCGGGGAAGAGTGGCTACATCAATGACCAGGCACTGTAACCTGGCTCTATCTGCTTTCCAGTTTTGACAACAGTTATTCTGTTTTCTTGGTTTCCCTCTATGCTTTTGTGGAATACTTAAAATTGTGGGTGGGACTGGAGAGATGGCTCAGCTCTTAAGAGCACTGGCTGCTCTTGCAGAGGACCCAGGTTCAGTTCCCAGCACCTACAAGATAACTAATAACCATCTGTAACTCCAGTTCCAGGGGATCCAATGCCCTCTTCTTGCCTCTTCGAGCATTGTACACATGTGGTGCACTTACATACCTGAAGGCAAAACACTCATACATAAAATATAAAATTAAATATTTTAAAAATTAAACTTTTTTTCCCATGTCAAACTCAAACTGGAAATTACTTCTAAATCTTAGGTTTGAATTAAATCTTAAGAAGTAACAGAGTGATTTTTATAACACCTTCTTTATTCATTTACCTTTAATAAAGTTTGCCTTTATTCATTCCTTATTCAGAGACTATTAGATCCCCTTTGAACAATGATCCTCAGCTAAAGTTGAATCTTTCCCCCGTGCCAGCTGTGGGGACAGAAGCCCTTTGGCTGAGAATTCTTGGAGAACAGACAAATGGCCTCACAATTCAGACCAGTGACTGAGTGGGCTTCAGCCTCACTCTCAGTTTTGGGTTAGTGCCTTGAATTGCTGCTCACTAAGGAAGCCCTTGGAGGAGTGGAGGGAGGGAGGGAATGAAACTAGACCCAAGGACTACTCCCTCATCTGTGTGAGGAAGGTAGATGTGGGAATAATTCTGGTTAGGAGGAAGGAACAAGGAAATCCAAAGCACTTAAAGGAATATCTACTTCATGTCTCCTTAGTAGTAAACAAGGAGGGAGAAATTGCCTAATGCAGGAAACAGTTGAATGGCCTTTGTATCTCAGAGCAAGTGATAACATGTATGGTAAGAAGATGTAACCAGGGCCTGGGTGGGGGACATGGTAGCATGTACGAAAATTTCATTGTGATAATATGAGTGTGTCTCTTTATGAGACCCCTTTCCTGCACCAAAACTCTTTCTTTCTCTTCTAAGGATACTCCCCACTGGCCCTCTGAGTTTCAGTTCTGCACACAGTCATGTGCCAGTTACTATTAATAGTGATAAATCCCTCCTGATATTTCTTGAGGCTCTGCTGGAGCTAAAAGTCTGGTGAGGATCCCAATGGCACTTTCTGGAAAAAGAAGCCATTCTTCTCCTCCCTTGATGACCTTGGGAGGCTGATGCAGCATCCTACCCACACAGCCCTGTTAGTCCTGTATTACCCTGCTGACCGTTTTTATGGTCTTCAAGCAGAGATCCCACTCCTCCACAACCCCACCTATAGAAGGCCAAAGCAAGCTTAGTGTATTTCTTGGATGCCTCTCAGAAAGATGCTGACCCCAAAGAGTTGACTAAACTGTTTCTGTAGCATCTCATGCAGCTTCCTGGAATTCCTGGGTATTACTGCTGCTGGGTCTGAGCAGCCTTGGTCCTGCCCTGGTTCCGCATAGGAGCCTCAGTCCTAGAGCCTGGCTTCAGAGGTTGTCCAGCACACAGTCTCTGTTTTGCACACTGTAGCCCAGACAGGCCACCACTCATGATTAGTGACCAGGTCTGTGGCAGCTTGGGGACAGGGCCCTGTCTCTTTGGCTGGCTTCGACTATTCCTAACTCTGAATGGCTGGTGAACATCCCTCTCTCTACTGGCTTCGGAGCCTCAGTGTATTGGAAACAATCCTTCAAAGATCCAATTGTACTTTAGACATATGGGAGAACACAGATCCCCAGAATGTAGTGCTTTGGGCCTACCAAACCCACAAAGCACTACATTTTATGTCACACCAAATAACATATTCCAATTGTACACATTCTGCCTGCCTACAGTCTCCGGCATGTAGGGAAATGACTTGGCTCATGGTAAGGACTCAGTGGGTATTTTAATGAATGAATTCAGCTCCAGACTGTGAAAATGCCCTGATGAATTTTCTCGTGTGCTGCTGCTGCTTTCTGTTCCTTCAAAGGTAGGTCCTTGTCATGAGGAGCAGCTTAAGCAGGTTGTTAGAAATGCAGCTGGCCAGCTTGTGTTAGAACCAGGCTCTGCTCCATCCAGGTTAGCCTTGGGTAAGTTATCTGTTCTCTCAGTGTCTCAAAGAGGAGCTAATAAGATTACTATTATCTCATAAGATTGCTGTGAAGATTGTACACAATGGCAACTAACACTGTAATAAACACAACTTGAGATTGTTCCCACTCTATTACCAGATTTGTACTTTATCGGTAATACACACATTATAAATAAACATTCATTCTTCTAGCTCAGCC